TGTGAAACAATGCAGGAATTACACATTCTGAAGTAATACTTGGTTGGAAATAGATCAGGGAGTGCTCTATATATCTATATATATCTTTTTTTTTTAAACTTTAACAGGTTGTATGACATCTCTGTGAAGTGCAAAGACACCGTGGCATCGGCATCTCCAGTGTCTCAGCTACCTACAATACTGTAAACAATCTACACTATAAGGCGCACAGTTGAAAAGTTGCCCAACAAAAGAGCCACAACGTCAGTTCATAAAGGGTCTGATGTGAAAATGCATCGTCATCATCTTCATCATCAACACTCTGCAGATCTGGCATACCAACTGTCAATATACCAACTGCAGGCAGTAAAATGCTGTTTAAGTTTATTTAAATGGGCACGACACGCACGAAAAAAAACAAAAAACAGAAATATGAACCCATTTTCTTTCTTTTTCACATCAATCTTTTTTCAAATTAGGCACACGGTACAGCACAGTAAACTTTTTTTTTCTTCAATACCTCTTTTGGTTTTTGACATCTAAAGACGTGGACACTGAAGGCCCCTCCATGACTAAAAGGACAAATAGGGTTTTTTTGTTTCTTTTTTTTTTATCGCAAACACAGAACAGTTAGTCCCTCGCTGCTGGCATTTATCTGTCCAAACCTAAACATTAAAGGGAGCTTTCCGCTGCAGTTTCCTCCTTTGTGATTATTAAACCTGCTTTATGACTTCTGTATCAGTCTTTTTTTATGGCCTTTCCTTTCTGTGATGACACTAGAAGCTATCACAGGATATCCTATACAACATAAGGCATTAAATTCCTCTTCGCATGAATCATATCGCTCATAAATAGTCTTTGTGACCTTTCATCTCTGTGCATAAATAAGAAAAAAACACACATACAAATGAAAGCGCTAAAAAACCTTAACTATTCACTCTGCAAATACTTGTTCGCTGTTTTAAACACTGATTGTCTACATTATCAATAGAAATCTAAGGATGTAAGTAAACATGATAGGATGTAAACACTGTTAGTATCCAACTGGCTTGGATCTCAGAAGATATTTGACCCTGTATGACACGAGAAAACAGTCCCACACATGAGATGGTGGAGGAGCGAGGTAGTCCACAAGAGACTTAATGGAAGGGGAAAGGAGCTATGGGTGAACCTTAATTGGCTCTGGTGTGTCGCTCGGACTTGAGGGCCGCGTTAGCTTGTGGTTTGATTAATAATCTTCATAGTGTAGTTCAGGCTCTCTTGCTGTGGTTGAGAATTGCTTTGAATTGGCAGGGAGAAGCTGTAGAACTGTGGTTTGCACTCAATATAATCGTGTCGAATTTATTTTCAGTCTTAAATTTTAGAAGATTTCTTTGAAAGCTTTTGTTTTCCTGGCAGTCTTTTGTTTGGCAAAGTGCATCAAATCAGTCTATTTGTGTAATTTTTTTCTTTATATATAGAGAGATAAATATATGCGTATATAATTTTTGCACCCTTAGTGGTCCTCACACGATGCGGTAATCAAATGTGTCCTTTTCAGTATGGTCTGTCCAGTTGGATGAGGGCATACTGCGATATGGGTCCAGTAGGATGCGGAAACAGCGTACGATGAGCAGGGCCAGGAAGATGAAGAGCAGCAGCACGAAGACAAAGGCAGCCTTCTGCTCAAGCGTCAGGTAGGAAGGCACGTGATGGCCACCACCCGACGAGGACAGCGTGCTGCTGAAGAGGCCCTCGGCCATCCTGGGCACATCCATGCTTGATCGTCTCTGCTCCAGCTCTTTGTCGGTTGCTTAAAGACTTTTGAGGGGAAGATGGACTCGGTGGAAAAGACCTGTGTGAAAATCCAGATAGATTCGTTATAGATCATGTCTTCTGTGATTTGGCAGGTGAATGAGTAAACCAATAATTTTAAATTCTCAAAACTCAATTTGTACAGACGACAGGACAAAGTGGCTTCAAGAGGAGTTTATTTTTGCAACTCCAGGTAAAAAAAAAGTCTGCTCTGTGAATAAAGAAGGCCCAGAGGACTCCTTTGGCAATGAAATTCACGAGGGAGCTTTAGTTATACAACATTTAATGGAAGCAATATCGCTCTGAAGGTAGAAATGTCACTGGCTTCATTAAACCACAGCTTATTATTACTGAATTTCTAACCTTGCCTCCCGTGAATTGTGTTCATATGCAACCACCTGCACCAGCAAATTAGATTCTGTGGAAACGTTTATTTTAAATATTGTCATGCATGAGGAAAAACGAGTTTCTCCTCAGACAAGGTTACATGAATGAAACATGAATTCAAATAGGTTTACGGCTGCCTGATGAAGGATGGATTACCAACAGACAAAGCAGAGAGCTGCTACAGACCCCCAGAAGTGCAGGGGGACAGAAATGTGCATGAAGAGGGCACATTTAATAAAAATTTAATTTTAAACCGCATTTTTATGACAAAATGTTTAACATCTGTTATGCTCAAGGCATTATTTCATATTGCTTCAGCACATCATTTTAATTGAGATATTTTAGATCTAGTTTAGTTCTTACACAGTGTATATCTCTGAACTTTACATCATACACATTAGGGGAATGGGCATGATAAATTACTATAATTAAGAAATCTGCATATCTTCGTACCTCGATTCTATATATTCTAACGCATATGATCTTATGCAAGTGTTCCTGAGCTGAAAACAAATCCTAAACCCTCTTCTCGATAAAGTTTCCTAAAAATTACAGCGCCTAGCACATTTACAAAAATGCTGAGCCCCTTTTTTAATGAAACTATATACAGGAAATTATTAAAGATTAACATCTTCAGTAGGAACTAAAGCCATAAAAATTGAGAGACCAACACACTGCTGGGGCTTTTTTATTTGGTGGGATTTGATGTCAATAAAAAGCGCACTATAACACCAGCCTTAGCCTTTAATCCAGTTAGCAGACAGCAAACCTGAAGCCAAACCTGAGACTTACAGAAAAAAGACCCTAAAATAAAATAAGTCCCCCCTGTACTGAGCCAACTTCCACATAGGTGTAGGATAGTGCTGGCTTCATTTAAGGAGTGTATTAAATTAGTAAGAGTCCTTAGGGTCAATTAGATTACACTAAATCGGGAAACTCATGGGGAATTCTGTAATGCAGTATGTGAGTTGATATACTATTTCAATGTCATCTATGAGCTTAGAGCAAAAGATGCTGGGGAACGACTTCATTTCAATCCATAGTGGTTAGGTCATGTTTTTTCATTATGTTCAGTTATTCAAAAAAATATCTCCAGAAAGGCTTATTGCTGTGTGGATCATTTGTTCTAACAAAAAAGAGCCTAATACAATGAATTTGGAGGCAGTTGGGTTGTCAGTTCTATAGAGACAGCTGCAGATAAATGAATCAATTCCTAAACAGCCAGCAGGACTCTTCATCGTTTGATGTTTTTCCTCCTGCTGAGCAAACACTCGCTTTGAGTTATTATTCCAAACCAGTTTGAAAATTATTATTTTCTTCACACCACAGGAAAGCTACAGAGGGAATATAATTTTTTAAATCTTGAGATTGCTCAGATATCGCAAGGTTGTTTTTCTCAAAACGCGTTTTTCTATATAATTTTCGTAGCTTAGCAAATTATTAATTTGCTTAATTACCACATTTGGCATAGCTATACAACTCCACCATATAAGCTGGAGTGATGTCCAACTGTAACCCAAAGCCACCTGTTGTATGTGTGTGGTTGTTCTATTTAAATAATTATTAAAACACTGATTGGAGGAACATCTGTAAATCCTTACAGTTTTTCCCTTCTTTTTTTGGCTTACGTATCGTGTTATCACACAGTTAACATTTCTTGGGGCTCCTAACCATCAGATTACACAGCACTCCAAATTATTTGGCATGAAGTGGGAGAAACACACTTTAGAGTTGTCTATCTCATGGGGTTTTTTTCAATCATTTTGTGTCCAAGACACACCAAAGACAAGCCAAAGTTTCAACGGACACCTGTGAAAAACAGCATATCTGATATCTGGCATGTCAGTTTGTCATTTGATTGTAATGTCAGATAACCTATTGATCATCTGGACCTATTAATGTTGCTTTGCAATAAGAGCCAATACCTTCCAGCTTGCCTCAATCACCTTATCAGATATTTTCACACAGCCCATTAAATGTGCTTGGTTTAGATCCAGACTCTGTTGAAGAAAGCCAAGTTTTCCTCTTCAGCTTGCTTGGCAACATTAACAAATCCCTCCCGACAAATGACTTTGAAATCCCCAAAGCAGCTGCAGAAACAACATAGAAAGCAATGTGTGTTTGGCCTAAATGTGGACCACACATGCAGTTTTCTTAGGGCCGCATTTGAGACACGACTGCTGCAATGAAGCCGTGTGTCAATAACCCACGTCAAACATGGCTACTAACATTTGGGCCACAACTGACACACACAACACAAACACAATCAAGATTAGGCAAAAAAAATTGGTTGATTTTTCCCCGTCATCTTTGCCCTCAGTGGTGAGGTCATCAGTAAAACCTCAGTGGTTGTACTGGTGGTTAGTTGAAATTTCCACACAGATTTAGATAGATTTTGTTGTCCTCTTAGCTAACGGTCAACTGACAGATTTGGACTTGAGCAGACATGACAAGACGTTCTTCAATATTTCTTTCAGTCCCTTTGTACTGGAATATATGCCTACAAAATATAATATAGTATGATTGAAATTCAGATACATTTAAAATAAATGTAAATGTAATGTAACACGGGTGATTCAGGACATACTGATGAGAAGCGAGCTAGAGGAACAAGGTATACCAGTTAGATCCGGGTTGCGTAAAGTGGGCCTGCCGCTACTCGTTTACTGAGAAACTTTGGCTCCTCCCAGACATTTTCCCATCTATTAGATTTATTATCTGATTTGCAATGTTCTCTGAGAAATGTTTGCATAACCCAAAGTCTAATCCTTTTTGGTTCTGTCCTTCAGTTATGCTTCTGTAAGTGCGACAAGCCGTCACACACACTGACAATCACATTGGGAGGAGTGCTGAATGTGTTATGAGACAACTCAAAGTGACAAGACAGGCAGAAGAGCTGTCTCTTTCTGCCTAAAAGAAAAAAAATATGTTAGCAACTCTCAGGAGAGACCCAGAGAGAGCAAAGCCTTCAGCCATGCCTCGCTGATCAGCAGCCTGTAATCCATCACACTTAAAACTCAAAAATGATATTTCACAGCAGTGATTCATTGCCCTCACGGTAAAAAATGATAAGGAACATAGCTGTTTTTCTTTGTCTGCTGGTTTACTGTCAAATCATAATCTCACCGTCTTGTCCTGCAATGACACAGTGAGGTTACAGGGTATTAGCACTTTGGGGCAGAAACCACTTTGATATTTGTTACAAGGTTATGTAATAGACTTCAAAGACTCCAAACATTTACATCATCAGCAGCTCCATGACTAAGCACTCGGCGTTTGGAGCTTTTCTTGACAGTATTTAACAGGGATACGCTAAACATTTAAGCTGCTAGTGACAACTTTCTAAGGAGCTTTTCATTTTAAAATGAAACGTTGTGCTTTGCTCATCAGCAGCTGAATTTCAGAAAAAAGCAAATTGCCTCTGTAGCCCTGAAATTGCCAGTAGATGACAGAGATACAAATTCACGGTGTCGAATTTTAGAAGCTATGTAAGGGCGCAGTTTTTATTATTTTTTTAGTTCAACTGTACAAAATCAGCTGCAGTTGCTGTGGTGAGGAGAAGATATGAAACCGTGCCAGACGCCGAGAGTAAAATTGACAAGGAAGTGAGTGTGACGAGGATATCGAGCCAAATTTAGAAATGATTCCAGTGATGTTGAAGTGTTGATGTAACCTGCAGGCTCTGCATGTCTGTGTTGTGATTATGACTAATAGAGAATTAAAACAACATCAGTGGAGGTCAAATTAAGCAGTTTAGGAGAATTCTTCAATATGTTTTGAATCATTTCACAGTATAAATGTGCTTTACAATAAATTAACTGCAGAAATTACACTATGATGGCCATTTATGACTAAAATATACACAATTTAGTCAGAATATACATTTTGCATATGTTTCCTTTTTAATGCATTATTTTTAAAATGTATTTATTTATATGTCTTTCAACGTCGTGGACTTTTTTTTACAGACACGGTTCATGAATGCAACAGATAAAAGCTTTAAAATCTTTAAAGCCTGCACACACACACACACACACGCACACACACACACACACGCACACAGCATTTATTTAAACATATATGCTGAAGAAGATTAATTGAAGAAATCAAATTCTTCAGCTGGCCTAATATATATTTTTTTAAGTTACATACTTTGTGTAAATAAATGCAAGCAAAGAGGAACCACTGCAAAATTAATTATACATGTGAGTGCAGGTGGATGCAAAAATAAACATGTAATATGCAAAAGAGTGGTGTTATGGATAAGAGTCCTCATACTGAGATATTCTTATTCATATCGACCAATTCATCCAAATCCTTGTAATGCAACTGTAATCAAAGGTAGACACACCCGCAGATTCAACGCAGGAATGCTTAACAATCCAGCGCGTAATGATGAACCGCCATTTAAATGCAACATATTGGCTATGCCCCTATGAAACTGCCCCTGTTGTTTCAATAAAACGGCTCAAAATTGCCCGCTTTCTTGAACCCATTATTCCTATGAGCCTCAGCTGGACTCCTCGCCGCACACGTGGATGGATCAAAATGTGTCCAAATACCATTTCTGTCGCCTCTGGTGCGTCTGCCCGCACCTGTCACACCTTTACAGCGCGAAGATCAAAGCACAAAATCAACGCATTTCTTTTTTAAAAGATTTCGTATCGAAGAGGATTGTGGTCAGATGGAGCATCAGTCGCAGGTGCGAGCGACCGAGTCTGTAAACACTAACCTGTTGTTATCAGGGGAGCTCGGGAATCTCCGTCAGCGGCAGGTCTCCATTCCGCTAGATCCGACGATTCTCTTTGCAGGTCTTTCACCGAAACAACAAAAACGACGAACAGACGCGTCCTTGCAGACCGCAGGGCTCCTCACTACATGACAGAAAAAGCCTGTCAGAGCTTCTTTCTTCTGTCTTTGCTGACTGAGCCGAGCAGACCTCACCCTCTGCTGCTCGATTTTCTCTCCTCTTCTGCTCTTGACGCGCCGCTTATCCCCGCAGACACACAGGCAGGGATGTAGTGGTACCCAGTCGCTACTGGCAACCTGTTGCCATAGCAATCTTCCAGGTAGGCTATATATTGCAAGCGGATGAGGGAAAGGTGTGGCCCTCATACAATACATGCAAACTGAGTCATAAACACACATATAACACATATTTAAAGGTAATTCGAAAATTAAATAATAATAATAAAAAAGTGATAGCGTCTGAGAGACTTTAACTCAAAGGTGAGAAGAATATAAAATCACCCTTTGGATATTTTAAAATGCATGTTGATACATTAGTATTTGATCTTTGTCGCGCACTTTATTGTAAAACTGCTGTGTATTCGTCAAAAGAATAAACAGTAAACTTGAGTGTGAGCTTGGCTTTGGGCAGTATACAGGTGGGAAATTAAGATGTGATTACATTTGAAGCAGAAAACATTCCTTTTATAGAGACAAGCTCTGGAGTCTTCACTGCCTCACAGTGACAAACACAAATCCCCGCAGAGATTTGGGAAGACACGACGTGCCACGTCATTAGATTGATATGTTTTAGTTTGTCACACACTTTACTGCAAAACAGCAGAGTATTCATCTAAAAATAAAGAGTAAACTTCATGAATGGAGTGTAAGCTTGGCTGTGGGCAGTATACAAGTGGGAAATTAAGATGTGGTGACATCTAAAGCAGAAAACTTTTCTTGTGAGGCAGCTAAGACTCCGGAGTCTTAGCTGCCTCATAGTGACAAACACGAATCCCCTCAGAGATGTGGAAAAACGTGACGGACCGTGAAGGGTCACAGAGTGACTGTGCAGAGCAGCAGTTTGGGGAAATCTCAGGTTATATAATGTCCTGCTCAAATGAGTGTCCAACAGCTGTACTGCATCTCCATCTGGTGGCCTTGATTGAAGACTGCAGGTGTAAGATTCATCCAGAAAAACCACTGAAACTCCATATCAGTAATGAACTGTTTTCTACCTTTTCACAGTTTATGAGGGAAGATGTTTTTTCATCTGTTTTGTCCTTTTCACTAGGAAGATCAGCTTACCAGAAATACCATCTCTGCTAAACGGGTATAACAGGGGTCTAACATTAACTAGAAATATATCTGTCATATAAAAGTAGAACAAAGACACTGTCAACTTTTTGAAAAACAAACATCTCTAAAGCTCAGCAAGTAAAAAATTCTATGCTTTGAATAAATAAATAAGGGGTTGCCACAGCAGGTAGCTTTTATAGAAGGTAGCTTTACATTAGATGCTCTACTTAATGCAACCCTGCAGGCTGGGCTCAAACCAGTGACCATTCACTTGCCAAGACGATGAGTAAATTATTATACTAATGACATGCATGTGTATTTAATTTTTTTTTTGGCTTGTGTTTTCTGTATTTTAATTTTTTTTGCAGTTTTGAACCTCCATAGATTGTAGGAGTTTATCTGCCAGACTATTTCATAGCCGTGAGCTTGCCAGACTACTCAGAATTTAAAAGTATTAGTGGATTTTGTTACTCCAGGACAAAGACCGACAAGGAACTTGCAGTGTTTTCCAGTTGTTGTGCAAAGCTGAACTAAAGGTCTCCTGGCTGTACTCTCACACTTAGTGTTCAATGAGATTAATGTTGAACTCTTGGCTTCTTGGTATTTTCCAAAATGTCAGCCGTTAAATCCATAATTATTCAAATGAGAGCTGGCTGAGAATCAAATACATCTTGCGTTAAACCTTAAAATTCCTTATTTCATGAATATTTTATCTAATTCTGAAAAGTTTGGAAGGAAGTGTAAAAGTTTGCTTCACTGTGGTTGAAATATTAGTGTGAACAATACAACTAGAAAGAGCTGTTAATCATCTATAGTCACACTCTAAAAATAAAGGAATAGACACATAAATTCACTATGTATTTATTAAAGCCCATGATAGATTGGTTGGCCTCCAGATCTTGACATCTTTTTATAATAATTACATCAATGAGTAATAGCAATAATAATGCCTTTCGGACTTTCTAAATGAAACTTTAGAAATCCTTTTAATAATCTCATAGAAAAGTGTTTCATGACTGAATTTGTGATTTTTGCACAGGAAAAAAAAAGAGTCTACACTCAAAGTAGTTCACAAAAAACACATGAATTTAAAAATGCTTTCCACACACCCCATGTAAAACTACATATGTATAACAGATTGTACAAAACAGTTATGAAAGCCAGGACAGGGCGCTGCTAATTGGATAGCTAGGTCAGAGAAGACAGCTGATTGGCTCTTATGCTGCTGTGTCAGTCTCCCAGCCCTCAGTGATTAAAGCAACTGTCAAGATACAGTTATAGCAAATGTATCTGCCTTATGTCTGCACAAACTCTGACTAAAGGAGGAAAAAACAGGAATACTCTCATTGTGCTATTATGTAACCAAATCCATGACATATTTTCTAACTGAGTTGAAGGTTGTTGGGTGCCAGTGTAGCCCATTAGTGTCTATTAAAACAGTTTCTGCATTATTGTAGGGTCTTTACCTTACAATATAAAGCAGCTTGAGACGACTGTGATTTGATGCTACATAAATAAAATTGAATTGAAATGAATTGAATGTTCTTTAATTAGTAAACGTTTATTCTTGTAAAGTTGATAAAACTTTACATGTAATTTTGCTTAAAATGTGTTTGATGCTGTAAATTAGTTAGAAATAAATGTTATTTCCAGCAGACTGCTGTCAACACAAACTAAAACCTACACATTACCGGTGCTCAAAGCAAACAGCAGCATGCTAAAATGCAGCAGATATGACTGTGTTAACATCTTTCAACTAGAGTAAGATTTAACATATTCACCACTTCAAATAATTCCTTGTACTTTAGGATTTTTTTTAATTCTTAAGTCACTGAGATTCATCACTGAGGAACCACGAATGTCTGTACAAAACTGTCATTCTGGTGCAGCTTGGATGACAGAGTAAACATTGGTTTTTATAAAACATTGGTGCTAATGGGCTAAGAATCAAATAAAGTTTTTAATTGATATAAATGTGATAAATGACACAGTGACAACTAGGAATTCAATATCCTGTGGCTGTCGCATCACATTTGACCTTTGACCTCTCCTTCAGTGTCAATACGTTGGCCAAAGTAATAATAATGCTATATAGAAACATTTAAAACTATTCTTATTGCCATTGTTTGTTTTTACAACATATAGGCAAATATGGGGGATGTATATGTATATAATATATGATTTTTTTGGCCATTGTTATTTACATTACAGTAACAGATTATAACCAATTAATTACAAAACAATTTGAATACCTGTACAATGTTCCTGAATATGATTCAAGTATTATTATTTTCTTTGGGGAAATTAAAGAAACTTTTTTTTTCCAGTTTCTATATCATAGAATAAAAACAAGAATTAAAAAAAAGAACAAAGAAAACTGTGAATTTATCACGTTGTGTATCACTGTGGATTTCAGGAGGAAACCTTTGCTGATCCTTGGGAGTTACATAGTCGGCACATAAAGTTACGTTTTCTGTCCCTCATTATTTTTCACAGTGGGAAGGTCATCTCATCTTGGAAATCTGTGGAGTGTTCTCCCTGTTACCCTTTTGTTTACTAAAAGCAAGCAGGCAAGCAAACAAGCAAACAAACAAACATTTTGCAGAAGAGCTGTTTCAGACCTTGTTTGAAACTTACTTGGGCAAGCAATCGGCTTGATAGATGTGAAGCTGCTACTGATCTGCCAATAAAAGCTACAGTGGGTACATGATCAGCTGCAGGAGGCAGTGAATGCTAATGTGTAACTCTCAGCTGATTGCTCCTGCATAATAAGCTTACAAGACATAAATATTTATCTATAATCTCTTTTGCCCTTACATACTGTGTGGGTTCATTTTGACCACCACCAAACTGTGATTCTAGGGATTTCTGCACATGTGAAACTGTATATGACATGTCTGTATGTATGTTTTATGGGACACTGGTGACAGAGTTCGGGAGGGACCTTTGCACTGTTACAAGAAAAATCGGTATTCACATCACATTTGCCCAGGTTCCCACAGGGACAGGGACATGCTGATATTTCAAGAATTATGGAGCACTCTCCAAAGAGTATAACAGTGAAACAGCACAGGAATGAGCACATATGATACATATAGAGGGTGTCTCGACACAGACACAGGATCCGTAATAGAGCACATTGCAGTAGCAACATTGCTTCACAGTTTCTGGTTCAAATCCTAGCTGGTGCTTTTTTTTTTCTGTGCAGAGTTTGAATGTTCTCCCCAAACCATCATTGTAAGAAGAAATTTCCTCCTGGTCTGTCTTCTGGCCTCCCCCCCCACAGTCCAAAGAAATGCACGACAGTTTAACTGGTCATTCTAAACTGACCGTGGATATGAGGTCGATAAAGTGTTTGTAGCATATAAAATATAGTGCTGTATAGTCAGTGTTGGGGAGTAACGGAATACATGTACCGCCGTTACGTATTTAAAATACAAAATGAGTAACTGTATTCCGTTACAGTTACCGTTTAAAAAGGTGGTATTTAGAATACAGTTACTTTGTTGAAATAAATGGATTACACGGCGGTACTTCCCT